CATACAGTACATTTAAAGTTTTATCTTTAATGAAACACATACCTTGAATCAAATCATTATTTTGAGGGTCTTCAACTCTAGCTATGGTATATACTCTCCCTATTATTATAGGTCTTGCCTTGGGTGTCGATTGGAATTTGGTATTTGTTGCCGACATTCAAAAAATATATGTGCAGGTTTCCCACACTTAAAACAAACAGGTTCATCCACACTTAAAACATTTATGCTGATTATATACAAGTTTATTAGAATTTTTTACAGAAAATTAGCTGAATTGAGATCTTCGTTGGGGGTGATGATAGGATTTTTCTTCATCTTGTATCCTTTTATTTTGTAAGGGTCAGAAATATTTTGATTTATTATTTTTTATGGTTTTCAAAATCTTCCAAAAATATGCATTTATGAATAAGTATAGGGAAATAAGAAATTTCTAATATTTCCACTATTTTTTTCAATTCAAGACTAAGTTTATTTTCAAATTTTATACATTTCATTCTTTCATCAGGTTGATAAAAGAACACTAAGTATTTTCCTAGCTCCTCAAACTTAGAGTTATATTATCCTACTGTCATGCCCCGTTATTTCAATTATATAAACTTTATTTCTTTTGCTCTCTTCACATAATTGAGAAAATATTTTTTCTAAAAATTTTGTTCTAAACACCTCTCAAGTATGGATGGCAAAACGGGGCGGGGTGGGCTGACTCGTTATAGTCATGACGGGCTGTAGACCTTGGCCCGCCCCGCTAAGGGGTGGGTTGGGAGCCGACCCGTCATAATTTAAAAAAAAATAATTTATATTTTAAAATAAAAAATTTCAATAAATTTAATAATAAGATTATTATTTGTTTGTCAATAATTTAATATATATATATATATATATATATATATTATTATTTCAATTTAATAATATAAATCAATACATTGTTTTAAGAAATTATAATTTAGAACAATAATAAAATTTATATAATAATAAATAATAACAAATATATATATATATATATATATATATAACGTTAAAACTTATAAAATTTATATTTTTTATATTTTAAAATTCAAATACCTATATCTTTTTTATTTGATAAAACTTCATATTATTCTTGGTTGAATAATTCTTACACCTTTAATTCAAGTCATAAAGATAAAAATAATCGAGTGCTTAGGATGAACAAGGAGAACAAGAGAGAATGTTGTATTTCAAGTAAGGAGAATATTTTTTGTGAGAGTGAAACTTTTTTAATTCTCTTTTTAAAATTTTTAACTTTATATATTATCTTTATAATTAATTTTATTACAATAAAAAAATATTTTTTTATTAATTAGGCGGGCCGCGGCTGGCCCGCTCGTCCTGGCCCGCCTCGTCCCGCGGGTTGGCCTGATGGGTTAACGGGCTTGGCAGACACAGGGCAAAGCGGGCTGATGGGCTAAAAACATTAACCCGCCCTGCCATATTATGGCAGGCTAGCGGGCCGGTCCCGTTTTGCCATCCGTGCTCTCAAGTAATGATTATTCTTCCGCCTTTTAATAATCTCTTGGTACTATCCCACTAATAGTTAGTCTCTCCTATTAACATAAACACAGCGTAATTTACCTTTTGATTGTCAGGACAATTCATAACTTGAAATATTTTTTCTAATTCATTAATCCGCAATTCAACATTTTCTAGGTTATAACCTCCAAAGAACTGTGGATGTTTTTTCTCTTAAATTCAACTAAATCTTGTGACTCATTGGCTCATTAAGGTCTTTGGTTCCTTAATAATAGAGCAGTCATGTCTCTGATAGCTTATACCACTTTTGTCAACTCATTATTCCTTCTATTATTTGCATATGAAATTATACAAGTTAGGATTCATAAGATCTCATGATAAACTCATTTCACATGTCACACATGAAACATTATTTTGACACATTAATTTTATAATATTTTAAGAAATAATTATTTTCTATTAAATCTCAATAAAATATGTATAAATATATGAACTTTACAAATTTACATTATTCCTTTATAAGAAACAATTATTAAAATTGACAAATATTTTTCTTTTAATAATGATTGATTTATCAATGGTACTTGTTTTCCATTTTGATGTCTTTATCTATTAGCTTGATATTTTAGTTATAATAGGCACAAGAGATGATAATAATAAGAAAGTGAGAATAATTATCATTTAAAATAATATAATCTCATAATAATATATAAAATATACTTTTCAACTTCGTCATCATACTCTATTTATTTTATATGATGAAGATTGGAAATAAATTTGTACTTGACTAGTCAGGATAATTGAGCTCAATTTTAAATACTTTCTCATTGATATTTACTTATTTCAATCCCTAATGTTTAACCTTCATCTACAATATCATCAAATCTTTATAATTAAATATTATTATTAATAATTAAATAATATAAATTAAATCAATGAACAATAACCCGTACATAATTAGAGATAAAAGAAATAAATAAATATAATAGGATAAGTGTGTAACTAAAGATAGATAAATAAATATAAAACAAAACCAATGAGTAATTGAAAATAAAATAAATAAATAAATATAAAGCAAAATCAATACGTAACGGAAGATAATTAAACATGATAGAATAAATAAAATTAAGTTAAGGACACCTCACTTCACAGTTATAAGTAAAAATAAAGAAGCATAATTAGGCATGACAACGGGGTGGGGCGGGGCCAAGTTTTGCCTGCCCGATCCCCACCCCCGACTTTTTAATCATCCTCGTCCCCGATCCCCACGGAGTTAGAAATTAAGTCCCTATCCTCATCCCCGCTAGGTTTCGGGTTCCCCGTCCCCGCTCCGTCCCCGATTTATATTATTTTAAAAAAGATAATTATATTTATAATAAATTAATTTTACTATGTATTTTTTTATATATAAATAAATATTTATAATTTATAATTATTATTAATTAATATATATATATATATATATATATTTTAATTTATTATATTTGTATTAAAATATGTATGTAAAAGAAATATTTAATCATTTTTTTATATATAGAATATTTATAACATTATTATTATTATTATTATTATTATTATAATACTGTATTCAAATATTTGAATACTTATAACATTATTATTATTATAATACTGTATTTAAATATTTGATTACATATATAATTTTAAAAATATGAAATATATAATTTATAAGAAAATATTTAATAAGTTAATTTTTATTTAATTAGTTCGAAGTAATAAAAGTTTAAATTATCAATTTCTTTTAATTTTTTAAAATATAATTATTTTTTTAAGATAAAATTTGATATATGATAAATAAGAATAATAAGATAAAAAATTATGACATGATAAAACCTAATAAATATAAATTATAAATAAAATAATATTAGTTATTACTAAGATTTATGTAAAATATTTAGAAAAAGATAAAGAAGAAAAAAATTAACTTTGTGTTCATCCAATTAGTTGAAAAGATTAAAAAAAATTGATGGGAGAGATCAAGAAAATGTGAAAAACAGAAAGGTAAAAGAGAATAATGTAATAAATTAATTAGTATAAAAGATTAAAATTTAAATTTAAATACTTTTAAAATACTTTTAAAAGGAGAGAGGAAATACTTTTAAAATATTAATATTTTAAAATTTAAATTTAAATATAAAATTGGGGCGGAGATGGGGACAGGGTGAGGATTGCATTACCTATCCCCGCCCCTAATCAACTCGAATTTTCTTCGTCAAACTTAGGACATAGATAGGTCGATCTCCACATATACAAGTTTAATTATCATCCTTAAGCATAATATTAAATGGGTTGTTCCCTTACTTTAAATATGATACCTAAAATCTTACTAAATTTCTTTATATATATATATATATATATATATATATATATATATTTTTTTTTTCTCTCTCTTACTCTTTCTTCCTCACCCTTTCTCTTTCTCTCTTCTTTTTCTTTCTTTCTCCCTCTCTTTCTTCTTCTCTATTCTTCCTTAAAAAATTCTCACCTCTCCCATGTATTTATAGTCAAATTTTACATTTTTTATTAACTTTTTTTTTCACTTGACTTAAATGCAAGTTTGAGTTTCAACAAAGCTTGAGATAAGGAATCTTATCATTTATCTCTTTTTTTAGTCAATTTTTTTTTATAAATAATCGATAATTAATTAATAAATTTTATTTAAAAAATTCATAATTATAAATTTAAATTATTTTTTTAGTTTAACAATAATAGTATTTTAATTTTTATATAAAAATTATTTAAATTATCTAAAATATTTTAATTTAATATATTGTATTTAAAATTTTTTCCATAATATTGAGGTGTTACACTTATTATATCAAGATTTAATAAAAAATAATCACTTCTTAAAATATAATTAAATTAATAACTAGAATATAATTAAATTAATAACTAGATTATATATTAATGAAAATTACACTACAATAAAATCTAACTAAATTAAAATAAATGATTTTTTTAATTACTATTAGCTACCATTGTGGTTTCTGTATATTTTTTAAAAATAATTGTTATGCCAAATATAACTTCATAAAATAACTAATAGTTATAAATGTATATAAAGTTATATATAAAACTAAGTAAATTGTTTCTATAAAAGATTTATACCGAGTTTATATGTATGATAAATGGATTATTCAATTATTATTAATGAATTTTTGTAATAACAGTTGTAGTAAAAACAATTTATTAAATAGAGTTATTAAAATATAGATAGATTCTTACAGTAGCTGTGGTAAAAATATGTAATACTACATTAATTATAACTTTTTATCATAATAGTAATTAGGATAAAAACAATAATAATATTATTTTTTATTTATTATAATATATTAATTAGTATTTATGAATTAAATAATATAACATGATATATATATTAATAATATAACCCCTAGTTGATATATAAAATAAATAATGTTTAAGTTTGATAATCAAGTTTATCTTAAAAATAAACGAGCTTCAGAGATTTCTCCCCAATTTTCGTATAGAAAGTATCAGTCGCATTCATTCTCTCTTCTTCCCCATGTGTTTGCTTTCAGGGCCACTTGTTCAGCACATGAATGTGCCCCCTACTCTTTACACAGGTTTCAACATTTTTTTAGTGATTTTATATGTATAATTTTTTAGCCAAAAAACGTTTATATAATGACTCAGTAAAATAATGTAGTAATTATTTTAAGTTTTTTTTTAAAGGAGCTACAATTATATGTGACAAGTTATTCAAAATAGTTTTTTATTTTACTTATTAGATTTCTGATTATTTTCAGATTTTGATTGTTTAGAAAACCTAAAATAAAAGTATAATTTTGTTAAAGTGAATTAATAAAAACAGAGAGGCAAAAAATATGACACTTTAAAACCTTTCCTCTTGCAAGAGTCTTTCTGGTCTTATGAACAATACAAGTTCAAACAGATAGAATTACAATGAAAAATATGTGAAATACCCGACTAAAAGCCAATAGACAATATGCATAATCATACTCAAGCATAATCGCAATTCAATACGTCAGCACTTAATATATAAACAAACATGTTAATCACCTGAAAGTATAAATGAAACAGTGATAAGTATTTTAGGCTTCTATTGGGGTGCAAACAGCTTTAAAAGCTGAGATCCATTTTATCATCCTTCTTCGAAACTGTTGAGAATATGGGTTGAAAAGTGTTATAGCTTGAGTATGATTCTCAACTTGTTTTTGAATCTTTTTATAATGAGAAACTTGTTCTTTGGAGGGTTAGGGTAAGGTGGAAGAAATGTATATATAATTATAACACCATCTATGATATTTCACACCTCCCACATTTTTAGAGAAACAAACTCTTGCTTAGAGAAATTGACTATTTTCAACATTAACCTTAAGTAGGATTTTAATAAATGGTGGGATTCTCTGCCTAATTTCATAGTATGACTTTTTTCAGAAATAGATATTATTTCTTTTTTAATCATGCCTTTCACCTAACTAGTCCCCATAATTTGTACTTAGAAACAACAAAAATTTAACTATTGAGAGCAAGAGACTAAATATAATTAGGCTTAACCGGTTAAAACTTATAAACCAAACAAGATTTCAATGTTTAAATCATTTTATGCAAAAACCTCAAAACAAATAATAGATGGTTTTTTAAAAAGGAAAAAAAGCCAAAAGTAGCTTTGTACATGTTATAGTCTTCCTTTTTCTCATCCTGAATTACTAGATGTGAAAAGAAGAATCAAACTTTAAAATTTACAATAAATTCAAGTAAAACTATGAAACGACTTGTTTTTAAGCCAAAAGAGAAATGGGCTAAACATAATTTTACTATATATTTTGTTATTGTGTTACATCATCATCCTTAACCAAACAAATAAATATTGTGTCCTTCTTGCAGATACATGACAATCACTTAAAACTAACATTAGGCTCTTTTATGCTATTCATTACCAATATATTATTTTTAACATATGTTGCTTCATGTTCACATATACTAAGTTTACCAAGGGTAATCAAATCTTCACTTAAAGGCGATATAGCTCTGGTCTCAATCTTGGTTTTGCAACTACCTCAAGTGGTTGTGCAAGAAGGATACCATTTTCTGACTCAGCAAGGTTGATTGTTGAAACATTGGGTGGTGCACTCCATGTGAATCCATGGAGAAATCTAGCAAATAGCATCACTGTCATTGTGGTTCCAAGCATCACACCAGGACAGCCACGCCTTCCTTTGCTGAATGATATGAACTTCAAATTTGTCTCTGTTAACACTACATCAGATCCATCACTCTTGAGGTGACGTTCAGGTTTGAACTTGTAGGGTTCATTCCACACTTTTGGATTTCTTCCAAGCCCTTTTCTACTTATAATTACATGACTACCCTTTGGGATGAAGTAATTTCCCACCATTGTGTCACTCAAAGAGACATGGGGCGGAATAAAAGGTGCAAATGGATGAAGGCGAAACGCTTCTTTTGCACAAGCCTTCACATAGTTGAGCTTAGGTATGTCTGATTCTTGGATTAGCCTGTCTTTTCCTACCACACTGTCAAATTCTTCAACAGCTCGATGGAGCAACTCAGGTTGATTTATCATCTCAGCAAGTGCCCATTCAAAAGCATTTGATGGATTGTCCACTGTTGCAAGCATCAACTCCTGAAAGAAATTTGATTCTTGATTTCAAATCTTATAATTTCAACATGCACCAAAGAAACCAAATCTCCTTTTTTTTCCTTCTTCCCTTCCCAATTACACAAGTGATACGGTTGAGATAGAAAGAAATGAGTAGAGTGATATTTTTTACCTACGTATCACTTCTTAATTGGGGCACAAGAAAGAGGATAGGAAACAGGAAGTACAAATTTCAATTTTCTTCAAGTATTTCTTTTTTATCACAAAACAACAAATCAGTTTTCAAGAAGTGTGATGTGTTTAATTGTTGGTGCAAGAGTTGACGTATGTATGAAAAGAAAACTATAGAGAAGTAAAGGATTACTATAATTAGTGCACTGATTTCCTCGAATGTCAATGATGGATTATTGTTGGCATCTTTTAAGGAGATCAGAACATCAAGCCAGTCCTCTTCATCAACCTTTAATCCTTCGTTCCATTGGTTGATTCTCTGTTGAATGATGGGATCGTGATACTTCTTGATGATCCTCAAATATTCCTTCACCTTCTTCTCGTGTCCATCCAAGTCAAGTCCCCTCAAGCATGGCATATAATCAGAAACACAAAAGGCATAAACGTAGTCGATCAAATCAAAGAGGGTATCAACATGTTCCACTTCTTCAAAACAAGGCCCTCCATTCTCTCTACCCTTCCCAAAATATCTCGTATTAAAAATGATTTTTCTGATTAGGTTAGCACAGTAATGCCTTGCAGCTCTACGAATATTTACTAGGCCACCAGCACCACCGTTTCCATTTTTGCTTTTGGTGTATACGTAAAACATAAGGTTGTCAGCTTCTTCGGCCCTTTTGCCATTCAGCCATACGTGCTTGCGTGGGGAAAGCAAATCATTGGATAAAAGTTTCTTCATTTTCTTCCATTGGTCCCAAAGGGACATAAATTTATGCTTTTATATCCACTACTGATGAGTTCAGTGGACATGCTTTGTAATCTTGATGCAAAGATTTCGTCTTGTTTTCTCAAGATTTCACTGGTAATTGTGGGACATGTTACTGGGATAACATAGATATTTCCTAGGCGGATACATGCAAATTCAGTGTTCATTTCATTCATGAGCTTGTCTATCCACTTATATACAGGCTTGTTAACAAGCATTTCAGGAAGGTTGCCAACTATAGGCCATGGCTTAGGACCTGGGGGGAGTTTTGGCTTTTGCTTCTCGAAGTATTTCAGGAGAAATCTCAGGGCTTTGATCATAATGGTAAAGCAAGTGAAAGTGACAAGCAAAGAAGGAAAAAAGCCTTCAAGATTTGACAACAAAAGAAAACAGGTCTGATCCATTTCTTTGAAAGGAACTTTTGAGGGTTTAGAGAAATAATGAATCATGCTTCAGGAGAGATTTGATGCCTATTTATAGAATATATTTACCCAAATAGTATGATACGTTATATATGAACATATATTTTTGACAGTATAAGAAATTAATATGAACTGGCAGATCCTATTACAACATCAGTAATATATAGACTATATATCGAAAGGTTATAAGAACATATTTAAGGGTATCAATAATAAATGTTTAGGAATAAAAAAATATTTTATTGTGAATCTCATATTTCAAAAAACTCTTTAAAATTAAAATAAAAAATTACTTGAATAAGTAATTTTGACTAAATTTTAAATTATTTAATTGTAAAACTTATAATAAAATATTCAATTTTATTCTTAATCAACTCTGGTTAAAAAATTTATTTGAAAATTTTCCAGATAAATTGTAGAATAAAAGTGAGTTGGCATGTAAGAAATGTTGTAGAAAAAGGTAATACTTGAATGATTTTTCTTATTTGCTTACATTTGAATTGAAAATAAAATACCTATTTTATTTTATCATTATTTTTATAAATGATTATAATTCATTAATCATATGTAACATTTTAAAATAGAATTAAAAGAAAAAAGAAAAAAGTAGAAGATGTACAATCTTAGAAATTAGGTAAACCTAAAGTTAGTTAAACCATTGTGGTTTCTACGAAGGTAGGAATATGTTCCCACCAAAGCATAATTAGCTAACTTACGAGTACATGGATCTTGAGAAAAAAACAAAATCATAGAAGAGTAAGTATTTAAACATTTCTCTTTCTTGAATATGTACGGCATGGCACAATATTATTAAATGCTTCAATTGCTAAATGTTCATCCTTCTTGAACATAGATCGTTCATTATCAAGACTGATTTTGCATCCAATTGGTAAATGTTTCATCATACTCTAGTTTTTGTATTAAAACTTTGATTATATTTAGGCTCGTAACTAAGACAAATATGTGGTTGTAGTTTATTTTAAGTGGTTGGCAGTAGTCCTTAATTATCAACCTAATTTTATCTTGTGCTTTGGTAGGATATCCTTCAGAATTGAAATTTGTTTTATTGACTCATTTAATTCCAATAATTTATTTTCCATGTAACTAACTTACTAGTTTTTACTTATTGTTATTTTTAATAATTTTAATTTTTTTCTATTATCTTGAATCATACTTCTTAAGTTATGCTTCTTGAAGATATTAATGTTTAAGTATTATCATGTTGTATACATATATCTTTCCTACGTAGGACTATCGTTGGTAAAAAATAAAACTTATTATTATGCATATAAATGAAGAATGCTTGGATTTTCTAAGAACTTTTTCTACATATTGTTGTATTAAAACAAAAAATTGCTTTTTATAAATTTTCTTTTTTCTCAATTTCGAAAATCATTTTTACTAACTTTAATATATCTCTAATAATTATCTTCTTGTAAACTTTATAATTTTTTAATTTTATGTTATATTCTAAGAAGATTTTTCCTAGTCTTATGTTCTAATATTTGTCTTTCTTACCAGGGAGATAGGTTTGAAAACGTTAAACAATATGACTTAAAGGCTTTTATTCACCCCATGGCTCAATTAAAAATTTTGTTTTGTCTTCGATTATCTTAATCAAGCATTTGTTGTACATTAAGTTTGAAGGGTTATTAGACCTGATTTATTTATTTATTTATTTTATTATAAATACTTATGTAATTATAAACTTAATTGAGTGAATGAGAATTATTATCTAGTGCAACCGTGGATGCAGGTCACTTTGACTAAATCACGTAAATTCCTTGTATTCTTGTTATTTACTATAGTTTTGTAGGGATGGCAAAACGGGTCGGCTCATCATAATTTAGAAAAAATATTTTTTTTAAAATATTTTTTTTAATAAATTTAATAATAAGATTATTATTTGTTTGTCAATAGTTCAATATATATATATATATATATATATATATATATATTATTTCAATTTAATAATATAAATCAATACATTATTTTAAGAAATTATAATTTAGAACAATAATAAAATTTATATAATAATAAATAATAACAAATATATATATATATATATATATATATATATATATATAAATAACTTTAAACTTATAAAATTTATATTTTTTATATTGAAAAATTCAAATACTTGTATCTTTTTTATTTGATAAAACTTCATATTATTCTTGGTTGAGTAATTTTTATACCTTTAATTCAAGTAATAAGGATAAATATAATCGATGCTTAGGATAAATAAGGAGAACAGGAGAGAAGGTTATATTTCGGGAAGGAGAATATTTTCCGTGAGAATGAAACTTTTTTAATTCTCTTTTTAAAATTTTTAACTTTATATATTATCTTTATAATTAATTTTATTACAATAAAAAATTATTTTTTTATTAATTAGGCGGGCCGCGGTCGGCCCGCCTCGTCCCGCGGGTTGGCCCGATGGGTTGACGGGCTTGGCGGGACGGGCCAAAGCGGGCTGGTGGGCTAAAAACACCAACCTGTCCCGCCATATTATGGTGGGCTGGCGGGCCAGCCCACCGGGCTTAACCCGTTTTGCCATCCCTATAGTTTTGTATATATTTGTGTTCCCACCAATTGAGGGACGAATCTTTTTGGGAACTGAGGGGGGGTCGTGACCCCCTAAAGTTTTGTAACTCCCATGTAATTTATGATTTTGGTCCTCCCAAACTTAATCATTTAATATATTTACTTGTATATTTACAATTTTATCCTCTCAACCACTTCTCATTTTTGTAATTCTCATATAATTTACGATTTTACCCCCAAAACTTAATAATCATTTAATATATTTACTTATATATTTATAATTTTATCCTCTCACCCTTTCATTTTCTTTCACCCTTTTATATTTATTTATTATTTTTTAATAATATATTAATTGACCCCCAAAATCATTGGTCAAGATCCGCCCTACAACAGCTGGTATTAAGAAGTTAGGTTTTTTCCATGTGAGTGAGAGTAATGGCAGAAGACGGGAAAGTGAAGATTGACAAGTTCGATAGAAGCGATTTCAGATTTTGGAAGATGCAGATTGAGAATTATCTTTATCAGAAAAAGTTGTATCAGCTTTTGTCCGTGATTAAACCAGAAACGATGTCTCAAGCAAATTGGAACTTATTAGATCGATAGACTTTGGGCGTTGTCATATTAACATTAATGAAGAATGTTGTCTACAACATCATCAACGAGAAGACAACATGATTTGATAAAGACATTATCAAACATGTACGAGAAGTCATCAACATCAAACAAGGTATTTTTGATTCATTAATTAGTTAATACGAAGATGATGTGATAAGGTGTTAGTGTTACATATCAAGTGAATGAATTTAATTCCTTATTGTTAAGATTAGTATCAATGGATATTAAATTTAATGATGAAGTACAAGCTCTGTTATTGTTATCTTCGTCACCTGATAGTTGGTCAAGAACTGTTATAACAGTAGTCAGTACATCTAAGACTATGAAATTAACTTTTGAAGGAATTAGGGATTTAATCCTTAATGAGGATGTTCGTAGAAGGAACATTGAAGAATCAATAAAATCCTTATTAAGCACCAAAGGTAGAGGTAGAAAACTTGAAAAAGGGTAAGACTCTGGACGTGGTAGATTAAAGTCCAAGAAACAAAAATAGTCCAAATCTTATAAGGATATTACTTGTTAGAATTGTCAGTAGAATGGATACTTTAGGAACTAGTGTACTGTCCCCAAGGAAAAGAGACATGACAATACAATGAATGCAACAGAAGAAGAAGACAATGATGATGCATTGATCTATTTTTCTTAAAAATTTCTAGTGCACCATTCCAAACTCATTTTTTTTTAATTTTTCTAGTAGTTTTTAGTAATATTCTTACAATTTAGGAATTTAGTTTTTGTATATACACCAGTCAGAAATTTTTACAATTTTTTGTGTTGGGGAATTTATTTAATAAAAATTTCTCTACACTTATTAAAGCTCTTGTTTCATTTTTCTAGTAGTTTCAAATAATATTTGTACATTTGAGGAATTTAGTTTTCATAATTACATCAGTCAGAAATTTCTACAATTGTTTTTGTTGAGAATTTTTTAATAAAAAAAATCATTGCACTCTTCTAAGTTCATTTTTGTTATTTTTATCCTAGTTTTGACAAATAATTTTACATTTTAGGAATTTAATTTTCGTAGCTACATAAGTAAGAAATTTAGAAAAGTTTTTTCGTTCGGGAATATTTTTATTAAAAATTTTCAGTGCACTCTTTTAAACTCGTTTTTTTAATTTTTCTAGTGCACTCTTTCAAACTAATTTTCAGTGCACTCTTTCAAACTAATTTTGAAATTTAGGTTTTGTAGTTACACAAGTAAGAAATTTTTACAATTTTTTATGTTGGGGAATTTATCGAATTAAAAGTTCCTATATACTTATTAAAGCTCTTATGTCACTTTTTTTAGTAGTTTTGAGTAATATTCTTACATTTTAGAAATTTAGTTTTCGTAGTTACACCAGTCTGAAATTTCTACAATTTTTTTTTGTTGGGAATTTATTTGATAAAAATATTCACTACACTCTTTCAAGCTCATTTTTTCTTTCTAGTTGTTTTGACTAATTTTTTTACACTTTCAGAATTTAGTTTTTGTAGTTACACCAGTAAGAAGTTTCGACGATAGTCTTTCAAGCTCGTTTTGTTTATTTTTCTTATAGTTTCGAGTAATATTCTTATATTTTAGGAATTTAGTGTTCATTGTTACACCAGTCAAAAATTTCTACACTTTTTTTTGTTGGGGAATTTTTTTAATAAAAAAAATCATTCCACTCTTCCAAGTTCATTTTTGTTATTTTTATTCTGGTTTTGACAAATAATTTTACATTTTAGGAATTTTATTTTCGTAGCTACACAAGTCAGAAATTTTGACAAGTTTTTTCGTTCGGAAATATTTTTATTACAAATTTCAGTGCACTCTTTCAAACTAATTTTCGAAT